GAGGCGCGAAAGGTCGCACCGGGTCAACAGGGGTGACCTCTGGGTCAGCTACGGCCCTGATTGACCGATGAAAGTGACGTTAATGGGCCCACCTTGGAACGGCCGCGCCTGGCCCGGTAAATCACCCAGCGGCCCGCGACTATCTCAATCGATAGTGGGACGAGAAAAACCGGTCTCGGGGCGAACGCCACCGCCGGGCCGGCCGCCAGACTCGTGGCGTGGTGAGCGGCCGGCAAAAACGGCAACACGGCGATAATTAGCGGGTAAAAAGACGGCAGCCCCAGGCGGCCGCCGCACCTGAGCCGTCGGTACAGCCCGCGCCTGTAGCCGCGCCATTCTCCCAGCCGTGGCCGTCGTTAGTATGCATAAAGAGGCGTACGAGCGCCGAGAACTGGGTTAGACAGGCGGAGGGACGGCGCACACAGCGGCGTGCTCGCTCCACGCGGTCTCCGTGGCACGGCACGGGCCACAGCGCCGATGGCGGCGGCGGCGCGAGCATGTGCTGATCCCCACCCGCCGGGAGACCGGCGCCGGGCCCGCTGCGGACACCGTGCTGACAGGCGCCGGCGCGATCGCCGTGTGCTGCCGCGTGGGACGCGCTCCCCGTCGGCGGCGGCGGTCCCTGACCAAACACCAGCGTGAGCTCCTCTCCCGCAAGAAGCGGCGCTGCGTGAGCGGAGCCTCAGCGCGACAAAAAGGCCAGCGCCGGCCAATAACTTGTCTGCTGTATGGCCGCATGTGGGATGAAATGATGCATGGTGAGATCGCCTACTTGATTGAGAGGATGGATGAGAATGGCCAACACCGGAGTGAAAGAGTTACCGCTTACGGCGAGCTATGCGTATTGAAAGAAGCATTATTATTCTGAGGATAAATGGCAGGTGTGAGCGCCATTAACAGCAGCTGTACAGTGGCGTGGATAGCGTTAAAGAAAGATTGAATGCCAGATAAAGAGAGAGCGTACGTGTGGAGGGAATGTGAGAGCCAGAACAGAGTGCGCGCGACAGGTTGTGAGCAATCGCTGCGGGGAAGAATGATATAAAACCCAGAGGAAAAAGCAGCACTTTAGCCGGTCCAAGGAGAAAGAGGCCCGCCTAGACTCGCCGGTCAGCTGAAGGCCTCCCTAAACGGGCCGGGTCAGAGGCCACAGCGGTCGCCCGGGAATGAGCCCCACACCAGCTGAATGCCAACGATTGGCATCGGCTTCAGTGGCCTAATAAATCCGATTTGGCCGGGCCTATTCTCCCGGGCCTTGTGGCGGCGATGCTTTGTACGCTCGGCTGACCCCATGAGGCGGGGCGCCGCTCGTCGTCCCCCGAACCCGTCATCGGGCGTCTGATTAGCGAATCCAGCGCGCCGCGCCGGCGGCCTGGCTTTGTGCCGGCCGTTTTATGGAGGCAGCTCGCTGAATGGGTGGCATGCGCGGCGTGCCATGCTGTTTGGCTTTGTCCGCTTCGACGGGTGGTGTGTGCTCCCTCTGACCTGACGAGTGGCGGGCACTCCCTCCGACCTAACGAGCACTCCCTCTGACCTGACCGGGAGATGGTGCATGGTTTAGGTTAGCTTGTGGCTGGCACCACTCTTGCTTGGCGTCAGGCGCATCCGATTGTGAACCGTGTGGTAGAGATCTGCCGTATAAGATGACAGGTAGTGATGGACGCTGATATTTCCTGGAAGCCTGTGACAGACGTGTGGGCACGCATTATCTGCTCCAAGTTTCTTGATTGAAGTGGCCTTGTATTGTCTGTCCTAGACAAGAAAGGTCGTGTGCAGCTTTTTCTGAACTGAAAAAGGCACCCAAGAAGCCCAGCCCCCCATGTATGATCTTTTGGTGTAGTGATACTCTCTCTTGACCTCATTCGACCGCCGTCACTGCTTTGTCACAGTCATGGCGAGTCTGCTGACCCGACGCGACCGACGTCTACATCTCACCTGGCGATCGTGCACCTTCGCGTTGACCTAGGCCACTGACCCAGGTCGCCGCCCGTCGGCGCCGGAGCGAGAGCACGATCGCGGCTCGTGTCACTCACGACCGCCGCCGCCGGGCCCGGCCGCAGCCGATTTGAATACAGGAGTCACGGAGAGCGCCGTTCGCGGCGGGTCGCCGTGTGATTGCCACGCTCGTTTGTTTGATAGGTCACTTTGTACAGGGTGATTTAGCGGCGGCCCTGACTCGATTGGGGCCAGTGTCTGCATCGTGAGCGTGGCCGGTCCTTGCGGTATCCAGGCCGCCCCGAGTCGGACTCGGGCTCGTTTCCCATGGCCGGCCGGCTTGCCATGCAGCCGGCGTACTGTTTCCATTCGGCCGGAGTTATTTGAATTCTGGTGCGACGTTGCCGGCGTGCGACGAGCTCCGGCGACAGTTCAGTACTCGCCGCCGCCGCCGCCGCAGGGTCTGGCAGTGCGAGGTCCCCAGCGCCGCCGCCGCCGCGGCGGAAGCGGTCATAGTCGACTGATCACCGTCGTCAAAGCGCCTTTCTTCTTCTGCGCGCCGCTTCCGCCGCCGCCGTCGCCGCGGGGCGCGCTCGCTCGGCGACGGTAGCGACGAACTTTTTACGCCGCGTTTGGCCGTCGAGCGGCGATGATTTAGCGTCGTCCGACGGCGGCACGCCTCAGCGCGGCGCCGGTCCGGCAGCCGGGGCCGTCTCGACCGTCCCCGCCGTATCCGCCACCGCCGCCGCCGCCGCTGCCGCCGCCGCCGCCCGGCAGCCCGGCAGCCGGTCAAACTCGCCCGCTCTCCCGGCGGCACGTCCAATCGCGTAATGTCCGCTCCAATCAATGCCTCAAAAACAATCTGACGTGGTGGCCGCCGAGGCGACGGCCGCGAAGCTTCCGGCATCGGCCAATATTGGCGCGGTGGCGCCGACGGCGGCGGTGGCAGCGGCGGTGGTGGCGCAGCTGGGGCGGCCGGCGCACCTGGGGCCGCCGTCATTACCTCTGCAGAAACTCATCGGTGGCCGGCGCGCACCCCTTTCATCGGCAGCGCGCCAGTGATTAGTCTGTTGTGGCTGCGCCGGGTCGCGGCTCGCGTGGGCCGCGCCCAGCGCCCCGGCAGCACGCTCCCGAGATTAGGAGTCCGCTGCACTGGGTGCGATTAGAGCACCTGATGATGACTCGCTTGTGCCGCCGTAATTGCACCGTCCGGATTTTTGTTGATTGAACGTCGGCCGCTGGCTGCGGCTGGTTTGTTTCCAGACGGCGTCGCCGCCGGCTGACGTGCCGGGAGATACCGATGGTGGCTGGGCTGGTGTGGACAGGGCTGGCCGTCCGGACTCGCCCCCTGATTGCTGAGCAAACGGCCGCGCAATCTACGCGTGTCGCGCCACATTCATAGCGCACAAACAGGCGCCGTGTTTTCTATCTCCGCGCGAGTTGGTGGCCGCTGAGCCTCCGGCCGGCTTCGGGGGCTTCGTTCCGTTAGGCGGGTTTTCTGTGCATGGTTCCCGAAGCAGAAAATCGCCAGATTCAGGTTTCACGCCAAATTTATTGGGCTTTGTAGCCATGTTTTTCATTCGCGGGCTTCTTGCCGGTCGCTAATGCGACAGTTGGCTCGGAGACTGGCTCAGCGTGGATCGGCTCATTCGGAACAGTGGCCAGAGATCTGATATAATGAGGATATTTATAGATGTGGTATTGTCACAAGGTCGCGCTGCCTGCAGCATCATCATATCCCAAAACAGCAATGTTTCAGCCACTTTATCAAGGAGGACTATGCATAGCACGACACGTAATCAGATCACATAGTCATGAAATTACGGTGTCATAAACTGTGTGGAGGCCATAGGTCACGCAGTATGGACGTGCTTTGTCACTGTCATTCAGGGAACCCGTCTGCAAACAAGAATGGGGTCGGAGCAAACAGCGGGTGACGTGCGGCGTGCACTGGCATGGTCGGTGTATGCGGAGCGCCAGGCGTGAGAGCAGCCGCATCGAAATTCACCGCAAACGACGTAATCTTGCCTTTTGTCATTGCGAGATGCTCGTCCGCCTTGCCACACCACCTTTTCGCAGCCCTTTCCACCTGCGATGGGCGGCGGTCCACACGCTTTTTTTGCTCCACATGTGGCCCCAGCACACAATCCGCAAACAGTGCACACAGCTGTATACAGAGGGGTCTGTCTCCTGGCGACGGACCAGACCAGCCGTCTGTACCCTGTGGTCGGCCGACTGCCGCTCGTGGCCAGTCCTCGGCCAGTGCGCCGTCCTTCCGCGGCGGCGACTGCGAGTTCAACGCCTACCACGCTCTGCCAGCCGTCTGTGAAATGGTGAATGGTTTCTTCCATTTGCTCCTGGTCACCGGCGTGATACTGTAATAGTTATAACGTGGCGGCCCGGCTGCGATGAATTAGGTGCCGAACGGCAGCCGGTGCGGTGACTGGCCTGCGACGACGTCTACGTGACAGGGAAGCCGCCCGCTTTCATTTCGGACGTGATTAATTCGCCATCACAGCTACACGTCACAGCTCAGCGTAATGCTTTCGGTCAAGAACCTGCGACTCATGATCCGCTGGAACATCTCATCACTCCGCGGCGGCCTGTCCTCACGCTCCGTTGCCAAACGACTCGTGATCGAGCGACGCCACCGCTACGCTCTGAAACTCTGTCGTCGTGCTTCTGGTGATACACTGCTGTTCTCCGCGGGTTATTTACACACGACGGTAGCTAGTCTTTCGTCTCTCTGCGCCCTGGTAACTAACCGCCCGTCCAACTGTTACAACCGAGTAAGCTGTCCACCCCGGCGTAACTCAACACTACCCGCACGCCTCTTTACACCTCACTACAACCGAGTAAGCTGTCCACTCCGGCGTACCTCAACACTACCCGCAAGCCTCTACACCTCACTACAACCGAGTAAGCTGTCCACTCCGGCGTACCTCAACACTACCCGCACGCCTCTTTACACCTCACTGCAACCGAGTAAGCTGTCCACTCCGGCGTACCTCAACACTACCCGCACGCCTCTTAACACCTCACTAACCGCCTGCTCCCTTCGCCCGCAGATGCTGCGCGCGGCGCACAGTGGTGGCGGCGGTCTGAACAACAACGGCCCGCGGCCCGTCTCCGGCTCGTACGACGGCGTGGCGGCGCGGGTCGCGCGGCGTCGCTCGCAGCAGTGGCCCGATTCAGAGCCGCAGCCCGGCTGGCAGGCGGAGGGCGCCGCGCGCCGCGGTGTGCCGCTCAAGCCGCCGGTGCCGGAGCGGCCGCGCCACCTCCGCCTGCCGGCTCGGCCCGACACGGGCCGGGTGTACCCGGCCGGAGCGCCGGCGGCGCCGCGGCCGGCCGCCGCCCCCGCCCCCGCCGCCGCCGTCGCCCCCGCCGTCGCCGCCTGCTGGGCGCAGGAGCTGGCCGTCAGGGGCGCGGCAGCCGCCCCGCTGCTGCAGGCCTCGCCGGCAGCGCTTCTCTTTGCCAGGTGAGTCCGCAACCGGATCGTGCGCCGCAGCCGGCGGGGCAGGGCGGGGGGGGGGGTTACGTCGTCGTAACTTGAGCGTGTCATTCACAAAACACATTTCGAAGAAGAGCTTGATGACATCGCTTTCCGTCGTTTGCCATTTTCCGGATGATTCTCCGTTCTTTGCCATGTTCTGGACCCTCTGGTCGGCCGGCCCCATCTGCGGGGGCGCTTTGTTTCGGCACGGGCCGCCCTCTGCTGCAACGGGCGGCGTCTTGTGATCTCTGGTGTCCGATCTGCTTCGATGCCGAGTAATTACATCCGGCGTGCGCCAGCGTCGTCTGTGGGCAAACTTTGGAGAAACAAAACCAGAACAACAACCGCTAACCAACTGAGCCGAGTCGCCGGTTTCCGGTCCTCGTTACCACTTTGTTGTCCCTCGAGCGGCCCTCCAGATTACGTGGACGGGGTAGGAGCTTCTGGCCAAATCCGAAAAAGGCATTTCTTGTTATTCCAAGACCGTTGTCTCCCGCACGTATGCCATTCACGGACGTCCCAGTCACCACACAGTGCCTCAGCTAGGTGGGTGGCGCAACGCAGACATGGACTATTGATGTCAATGGGAGCTGTGATGGAAATGCCTCGAGCCGTTTGTACTCCGCTACAGCAGCGCAATGGGCGAGGATGCATGCTACAACAGCTCTCCATTTGCTTGATGCGGCCTAAGCTCCGGGTGATCTATTTTTAGCGTGCTTTTAGCCAACCCTCAAGGCTCTTAATTGCCCTGACTCAGATTCAACTCATTCAAACAACTGTCTGATTTGCAGTTGGATTAATGTTATTGTTCTTGACCCAGAACTATGTTTAAGGTTATATTAATTACAGCAATATGTAAGTAGCCAGCTTTCTTTCAGACCCTGCTGTGGGCATAGCCTGGGATCAAGCTAAATCCGCCAGCTGACTACGCCAAGCCCCCCCCCCCCCACCCCCCCCCCCCCACCCCCACCCCCTCTCATTGGTGCCGGGTCACCAACTCCATGAAATTGATCCGTTCCGTTCCGCGTCTCATCAGTCAGCCAGGGGTCGTGTCATCGACAGGCGGCGAAGTTTGCCCGCGACGCCTTGTCGAGCGGCGACCTGTCTCGCCCGGACGGAGCGCCACCAATGGGCTGCACAGACCCCTCCGGCTAATGGAGCCTCCCCCGGCACAGATTCGCTTGATTTAATTAGTTGATTTGATGACGGGCCACTTCTGAGCATCAGGCGCGGTGGGAGTCGCCCCGGAGTGGGGGACGCTGCCAGGGTCGGCGGTTGGAGCTGCGAAGGCCAGACGATCTCTGTGCGACTCATCTGAAAGCTTGTCTCTGCAATTTCAGCGCTCCTTGGCGCGCCCGCAGGCGTTCTATAGCAATGTGAAGGAGATCCTATCCCAGACGATGGGTGGAGCCGCTCCCTGTCCGTTCAGCCTGACTGCGCCGCTGATCATTAGCGGCAAACCAATAGTGATGACACGGCTGGCAGTGGCGCCTGCTTGGGGGACCGTTGACCGGCCCCGCCGTCCCCTGCGTCCCGATCGGAGGCGGTCCCGTGTCGCCGCCGCCGCCGCCGCCGCCGCCGCCGGCGCCGGCGCTCCCGTGAGAAATTCGTTCGGCGTGCGCTCAGCGTCACGAGCCCTGATCCTGATCGGAGCGAGGGTCCACGGAGCCGAGTCAAGGGTGCGTCTGCGGACCGGTCCGATCCGGGCGGCGGCACAGACGAGCAGGCCGCTCCCTCCCAGCTCGTTGCAGTGTAATCAGTGCCGGGCCTTTGTGCGCGGCCCTCGTCTCTGTCCCCTCGTCGGGCGCCGATCCTGCATTGTCCCCGGTCCAGTAGCGGTAAAATGGGGTTCCTAATTCACCACAATGACGGAGGGCCGCTTCAATCGGCACTCAACAATGCGCCAAGACTGCCGACTCTATGCCACCCTACGCTTAATTGAAACCGGCGGACTATCATAATATTTCTTTTCATTATTTCGCGTCGTAAATCTTACGGCGTGTCCCCCGTTCGGCCGTCGCCGGTGTCGTAAGGGGCGGCGGCGGCAGCGCCGGCGGCATTCTAATGCGCCCCTGCCGGCCCGGGCCGACACGACTCGGCAATTTGTGGGCCTTCGGATGTCGGGGGAGATCCACTGTCAAAACGGGCCAATACCCGACGATGGATGGCCGCGTACCGACGCCACCAGACGCAAGATGATTTTTGCGCAGTTAATCAGGGGGCGTGAGGTGTTATGAACCGCGCAGGAATGATGTGGAGCTTAGATCACGTTTGAAAATGACTGGGTGGTTTCGCAAGGATAGTTGATGTCTTTCAAATATGGGTGGCTTGATGTTTGTTCCGTTTATTTGATAGACACATGTACATGGTGCACGAACAGTGTACATTAACATGAGAATATACCTGTTGTTACATAAAAGGTACTTGGCACTTGAGGTACTTGGCATAAAAGACACTTGATACTGATTATGAAAGGAGTGTAATTCATAATAAAAAGAGCATCGGTTAAATTTGCATTGCATGCATGCAGCAGCAACAGCAATAAGATATTTCAAGTGCAGCTCCACGGTCGTGTGATGCTGAAATTGTGCTGCTGTCACAATGTAGCTGTTGCATATTATCGTGCCTGCAGCGATATTGCTCACAGCATCCATTCTCAAAGCAGCAGCATTGTTCTCACCTGCGCTAATTAACTCCGTTGATGAGCGTTCGCCGCCGCCTCTGAATGCGCCTCGGAGTGGGCTCCCGAAGCCTTCCGCGGCGTGCGACGCCAGCCCGGCCCGGCGCGCAGCGGCGACGCCCTCAGGCTGAGCTGAGACGCCGACCTGAGCCGACGTGTCCGTTAGTGGCGTCCTGTCCACCCGAGTCGGCAGCCGGGTCAAGTGTGCGGCGACGCCCCTTCTGCCCGCAGGGAGGGGAGGGGTTAGGGTAGCGGGGGTCACTCTCAGCCGACACCCTGGGCTCGAGGCTCGGTCCGGTGCATGGCTGCGGTGTCAGGTGACACTCCACCTGCCTACATGCTGCGTCAACCCTCCGACTTGCAAATGCTACTTGCACGTGTTGGATCGACGCGGTTGCGTTGATTTGTGTGACATCAATACTTTTCGGATGACAATCCTTCTCCGTGAGATTGAGCCAGTCACCCGGCGACGGATGGAGGGCGTTTTGTGTATGCTCAAATATGAATCGGCTCAGAGGAGGGCAAGAGCTTGTCCCAATACTACAGCGATACAAATTAATGACGGAGCTATTCAAAGGCATGTTTTGCACCGAAGCCTACGCCTGCTGGCATACAGAATCAAAAGTCATCTGTCAGAGCATGACGTCTTCGACCGAGCCTCTTTAATTGCATTATGCATGCGGTGAGCCGGGTCGGTTTGCACCAACGGCTGTGCTTTGACCAGCGGACTCAGCTCAGCCGCACCTCGAGAGATCAAGGGATACGCTTGCTCCATCGCGGTACGGCGCGGCTCTGGCGGAGGCAGAGCCAGAAGCAGGGAGGAGTGAGGTGGCCTTCTTTTTTGGAGATTGGCAGGGACGTTACCACACTGTAAAGGTTGCCGGGGCGCGGCCAGCCTAAACAGAAGCCAATGGCGTCCGGATACAACCATGGGTGGCCGCGCCCGTGGGAAGTCTTGTCCGGCGCAGCATCTCTGAGGCAGGCAATGACTCGAAATTCCGAGTCTGCCTGCGTGTGTGTGTGTGTGCTTGAACCGTTCGGTAGGCCTGAGTAGGGCGAACAAGTCTGTTGCAAACGAGAATGTCCGTAATTCTCCATGCATGAACAAACGCCATTGAAGTCCTCCACGCGTGTCTGATGCATGCTTGACGGCTGCCCAATAAGACCACTCTAAGAATCGTTATATTTACGGCGTCCGAACCTATTACCTTTGTTTTGCCTGCGCTTGGGCGGGCCTAGAATCTGCGACGCCTCGAGGTCATCACAACTGGGGATGGCTGCAGTACTGTAGATGTTGTACGCCATCTACAGTTGTAGATGGCGTACAGCCATCTACAACTGTAGATGGCTGTACGCCTCGCCCCCTCCCAGTGTGGCGAGGCGTACAGGTGTGCAGGATATCAGTTCGATGACCACGCGGATGGATCAGAGTGAAGAACTGTAGTCGCTCAGCGCTGTTGCGCCGTGTTACTGTCAAGGCGTCTACTTAAATATATTTTTGCGCTTGTGTCGCGGAATGGCGTGGCTCCATGGTATTACTTTAATGTCTACTTAAGACTATATTTACGCTTGTTTTAGTACATGGTCCGGCTGTTGGAATGCCAAGGTTTTGGCGGCGTCATATGGTCTTGGGTGTTACAAAACCACAATCCACCAGCGGCCGCCGTCCGCAGCCCCGTTCATCTGTGGCATCGCCGCTACCGGCGGCCGATTTTCACTACCTGCGCGCCATCTGTTGTCTGGCGGCGTTACTTTGGCTCTTGTGAGCCGTCGCCAGTACCCTTCGCTCATCCGCGACCACAGTTGAAGCAGTTTTGCTACTATTGGTTACAAATACATCGAAAGGTGAGCAACAGCCGCTAATAAGTGATTCGTTTTATGCGAAAGTTTTGAATGTTCGTCAAATCTCAAAGAGATGCTGCAGACTTTTGTCTTTATGTCTTTATCGCCAGTGGGCTATCAAGTAACGAGGCGGGTATGGACCAAGCGCAAAGAATAACAGTGACGTCATAAGAAGATTGCGCGCCTAAATTTTTCGTGAAGCCCATCCATACGATGGAATTGCCTTTGCGATATTCATTCTGCGAGCGATGGCTGACGCAAGGGATCACGATCAAAGCCTGAGTGTCAAGTTCAGGCGCTGCGATGCACCGTTTGCGCTGCACCCCTTGCTGTCGTAAAGCCTTTCAAAATTTAAAAAGATATGGTGGGATTCATGAGATGTCAGCATTTTACAGGCACATAATGTAACTGGAGTGATGGGGGGGGGTGGGGTATCTGCGGTGTAACTGAGACCTTCCCGTTGAATT